GGGGGTGGGGGTGGTGGAGGCGGCGGTGGCAGCAGTGGAAGAGGAGGTGGTATACCTTCAGCAGCGGCAGCAGCAACAACAACAGTTGCTGTGTTGGTAGGATACTGGCCTTCATTCCTTACTGCCATTTCGGTAATGTTCACATTGTTTACTGCGGCTGGCATGATCTCTGGCTGAGTTGGCGTATTGACATTAGCGTCTGCCAGTTCAGCACGGATAACAGGGGGGGGCGCGCGGTCTACATTTGATTGTGCGGAGGGCTGATGCTGACTGCGGTCAACATTGGTGTCAGGTGATGAGTGGTGGTCTCTTGTGTGCGGTTGGGTGGAGGACCTGCGCACTGAATCAGCTTTCGGGAGTGGGTGAGCAATTGCCCAGCGAACCATTCGGCGAAACCAGTTCGAAAGCCGTGTGACTTGAGTTGGTAGCCGGCGTTGTCGGCCACGCACATATGCAGTCCAGCCTCTAGCCAGGACACTGGGAGGATGGCCCCTGACAAGCATACGTCGTGTCAGGGAAGTAACTGCCGCTTTGAAGTCAGTGGTATTGTTATATATATATTCGAATCTCGTTAGTTGTCCGGTGATGCAATCAGACTCGCATTCTTCTTCACTTCGCATACATGCAAACAAATGGCAATTCACACTGGCGCTGTGCGCCCACAGAAAGCTCAGAGATGATCAAGCCGAGAACACAGTTCAGATACAAACTTGCTTCCAACTGGCTATGGCGCCTGAGCGCCAACACATCCTCTGTCCAACACTGTGTGCACCCAACTGTTCACGCGCACTCGACTCCGGATCTCCCTGGGTATCCCACGTACGCACACTCTGTTCACACACTCACAAGCTCACCTTCAATACCACCTATCGCTAGCTATGGCAGCTATGGCCGTCGTCTACAACTAACTACAAGCAGCTATGGTTGCGCTAACTCCACTTCAGCCCACTTCAACTCCAGGCCTCTGCAGACCACCTCGCACAAGACGCTAGGGCAGCGCTTCCGCATGGCTCACGCAGGAATGAATGAATGGTTGGACACTGCCTCTTGATTTATACTTCTGTAAGTTGCTGGTCTGCCCTTTTTCCACCGGGCCCATGGTGCACACAGTCCCTCACGGTACTTGCTGACTGTACAAAGTGAGACTGGGACTGACTAAGCGAAGTTGGATTCACCACTTGCCTCTGGTCTGCAGTGTATAACGTGAGAAGAAACTTGAGAGGCCACCTCCGGACCTTCCGGAAGTTTGCGGACTTGGCCTTTCAGGACTGTAGCAGCTACGACCTTGACCTTTCTGACCTTGACCTTTCAGAAGTACAACAACTATGAGCCCTATGCAGGTATGACCCCTACTTCGACAGGTCTAAGGTTCAAGACCCGACAACTACTCAAACCTACGACAGACAACTTTCAACTACTAACACACAGGTCAGGGGTTCAAGACACACAGGGTCGACTTCATACTGTACACAGGTCAGGTAAGGTAAGGTAAGGTCTGGGGATTGAGCCCTGGGATCCGCATCTGTGACTGCAAAAAGGTGAAAACCATTTCAGTGAGCACACCTGCAGGCTGATGAGCCGGAGCGTTGGAGGAAGCACTGGGATAACGTATGACAGGGAACGTCCAGGTCTTGGCGTTATCAAATACGCCAATGCGAAGTGAGCCATCAGGCCGAACCAGGATCCTTGCCCCAAGGAAAAGACATGACCCACCTTGCTCAGTAATGTCTTTCCATTCAAGACCATACCGAGCAGGAGACGACGGTAATGTCTTCCAGGATAGAATGTCATCAACGAATCGATATGTGAATGCATATGCTTGCGCAGCACGCAGATCTCGCTGACGAAGATCATCGATGAACTGTGCTTCGTCCCAATAAAGCGTGAGGTTGGCAATTTCTGGTCCAGCGTTAGTGCCCATAGGGATACCGACCACCTGATGATGTTGCTCTATTTCAGACACCGAGAGGGTGTCTGACCCATGTGAAGTAACCCACTCCCCACCATGAGGCCCTCCTATGGTCATGTTTATCTGTACTGGCCTTCTGCCCTGTGAGATCCGCCCCAATGCATAATCACGTGCTTCACGAACAGCATTCAGAACATTGTTAAGAATCCTGTCGTGTGGTGTGCGTGTGTGTGTGTGTGTGCAATGACCATCTCAGTTCACCACCAATAAGCGCACACAATCACACACCATGCATGAATGAGATCACACAAAATTCACACTGGAGGCCAGAGAGATGAAGACCAGGTGACGCAGCTTTAGAATCCCAACAAATTATCATATAAGCATTGTTGCACCCCCCGACGGTCGGCAGGCCTCGACTGGTCGGCTGCCAACCCGCCGACCGATCGGCTGGTCGGCACCTGCCGGTCAGGGGTCGTCGGCACCCCGCCAAAAAAAAAAAAAAAAATTAAAAATTTTTGTTTGGGGTCCAGAACCCCCAATAACACATCCAACACCCCCATATCATCCCCCAATACCCCCAATACCCCCAATACCCCCATACACCCCCCCAAACCACCCCCAACACCCTCGTTACCCCTCAACCCCCCCCCAATAACCCCTATACCACCCCTATACCCCCCTATACTCCAACTCAACCCCCCCATATCCCCCCCATCCCCAAGACCCACCCCCACTTGTTTTTTCTTTTGGGAAATTCGCAGGGCACTCATCACACACCCCATTTTCTTTCTTTTTTTCTTCTTCTTCTTCCTCTTCTTCTTCCCCCCACCATCACCCACCCCCACTTCGTTTTGCTTTTTTTTTCTTTTTAATTTGGAAATTCGTAGACCGCTCAACAGCCACCTCTTCATCTTCTTCTTCTTCTTCTTCTTCTTCTTCCCCCCACCGTCACCCACCCCCATTTCGTTTTTTTTTATTTTTTTTTAATTCGGAAATTCGTAGACCGCCCAACAGCCACCCATTCTTCTTCCTCTTCCTCTTCTTCTTCTTCTTCTTCTTCTTCTTCTTCTTCATCATCATACAACTGCTGTAGCAACGGGTTGTAGCAAACCCTAATTCCTCTTCTTCTTCTTCTCTCCCTCATCATTCACCCCTTCTTCTTCTTCTTCTTCTTCTTCTTCTTCTCTCCCTCATCATTCACCCCTTCTTCTTCTTTCTTCTTCTTCTTCTTCTTCTTCTTCTTCTTCCTCTTCTTCCCTCCAACATCACCCAACCCCACTTCGTTTTTTTTCTTTTTTTTTTTCTTTTGGAAATTCGTAGGCCGCTCAACAGCCACCCCTTCTTTTTCTTCTTCTTCCCTCCACCATCACCCACCCCCACGTCGTTTCTTTTTTTTTTTTTCTGGAAAATATTAGGCCGCTCAACAGCCACCCCTTCTTCTTCTTCTTCTTTCAAGTGTTGTAGCAACAACTTCCCTAATTCTTCTTCTTCTTCTTCTTCTCATCCCCCTCATCATTCACCCCTTCTTCTTTCAAGTGCTGTAGCAACAACTTAACCCTAATTCTTCTTCTTCTTCTTATCTCCCTCATCATTCACCCCTTCTTCTTCTTCTTGTTCTTCTTCCCTCCACCATCACCCACCCCCAGTTCGTTTTTTTTTTTTAATTCGCAGGGCACTCAACAGCCACCCTTTCTTCTTCTTCTTCTTCTTCTTCATATTCTTCCCTCCACCATCACCCACCCCCATTTCGTTTTTTATTTTTATTTTTTTAAGTTGGAGATTCGGAGGGCACTCAACGACCACCCCTTCTTCTTCTTCTTCTTCTTCTTCATCTTCTTCCCTCCACCATCACCCACCCCCACTTCGTTTTTTTTTTTTTTTTTTTAAATTNTTTTTTTTTTTTTTTTTTTAAATTCAGAAATTCGCAGGGCACTCAACAGCCACCCCTTCATCTTCTTCTTCTTCTTCTTCTTCTTCTTCTTACCACCATCACCCACCCCTTCTTCTTCCATCATCTTTTTTTACGACCATGGCGGCTAATCGGGGACCATTCATGCTCGATACCGGTGAAGCTAGAGAGGAACTGCTGAGGAAGTCCGATGTTTGGAAATGGGTGGACCGAGGGCAGAAGTTGTTGGGCGGTATGTCACATGGCAACTGGAGATTGCGGTGCAGATTGTGCCACAAGGAGTTCACCGGAATGGTATCAAGAGCGGCGAAGCATTTTGTCCAGTCGTCAGAAACTGCTCGCTGCAAGCACAGCACCGGGGAGATTGCTGCTGCGGTCCGCAAGTTCCACCCGTCACAAGCAATCTGCCCATTGATGATGAAGAAATTGAACGAGTATTACAGGATGCAGGGCCGCCCGCCAGTCGCGGAGGATCCCGTGGATTTGGAGCCGGATCAGCACACAGAATGGGAGGGTGGTCATGACACACCTTCATCGCGGGCAGATTACAGGGCAGGTCCGACGCCGGAGGAAGGGAGCGGCATTGGTTTGGGATCAACATCCATCGGGAACATAGCAGCCCGCACTTGCACGGATGATGAGATGCCATCAAAGATTGCCGAGCACTTGCGGGGTCCCGTCTTGGCTTCCGCCCGCCCACCACGACCTCCCTCGGCCGGTGCGGGGCGGCAGCAGACATCCATGGCCGCTTTTGTCGGTGATGAGCTGAAGAAAGAGTTTGACCAGGCGATCGCCTCATTCTTCTTCGAGATTGCTATTGCATTCAATGCTGCAAGATCAGACTCCTATAAGAACATGGAGAGGATCATGAACGAGGCGGCCAGGTCGCGGAAGATGTTGAAACTGCCAGGGTACAACTTCTTGAGGAGGAAGGCACTCTCTGCGGAGTACAAAACTGTGGATACTGATTTGGACAAGATCCGTGAGCCATGGGATGTCACAGGCCTCACTTTAATGACGGACGGTACGACAACGACCAGCAACAGGCCGGTCATAAACTTCATTGTGGCCGGGGATTCGGAGGCTATCATGGTGAAAAGTGTTGATATGGAGGGGAAGGACAAGTTGCAGACATCCATGGCCGCTTTTGTCGTTGATGAGCTCAAGAAAGAGTTTGACCAGGCGATCGCCTCATTCTTCTTTGAGAACGCTATTGCATTCAATGCTGCAAGATCAGACTCCTATAAGAACATGGAGAGGATCATGAACGAGGCAGCCAGGTCGCGGAAGATGTTGAAACTGCTAGGGTACAACTTCTTGAGGACGAAGGCACTCTCCGCGGAGTACAAAACTGTGGATACTGATTTGGACAAGATCGGTGAGCCATGGGATGTCACAGGCCTCACTTTGATGACGGATGGTGTGACAACGACCAGCAACAGGCCGGTCATAAACTTCATTGCGGCCGGGGATTCGGGGGCTATCATGGTGAAAAGTGTTGATATGGAGGGGAAGGACAAGTTGGCTCCGGCTTTGGCGAGGATGTGGGAGGAGGTCATCAGGGAGTTGGGGGTGCATAGGGTCAATGCCATATGCACCGACTCGGCACCGGTGAACATATCTGCAAGGAAAATACTAGCTAACCACGACGACCCGACGATCAGGAACATTCCTTGGGTGCCATGTGCATGCCATGTGTGCAACCTGCTCATGTGCGACATCGCTTCAGTGCCATGGATTGCGGAGGTGATTCTTCAGGGCAGGGAGATCACCACGTTTATCAAGAGACATCAGAGAGCATTGGCGATGTTCAGAAGGGCCGGGAGGGAGTATAAGACACAACTCGACATCAAAGACGGTAGGCCGTTGGAATTGATCCTACCAGGGGAAACTAGATTTGACACAAACTTCGTCATGTTGCAGAGACTACGGGAGGTGGAGGCAGTGTTGTTGGCAAAAGTATCCCATGCGTGTTGGGATGATTCCCCATGGGACCGGACCGCAGCGTCAAGGGCGCTAGCATGCAAGGATCTCATACGAGACCCGGCTTGGTGGTTGGCCGTCGAGCGGGCATGCACTTTGCTTCAGCCACTTTATTCGCTGACGAGGGACATGGACAGAGACGGGAGGATGGGGATGCAGGTGTGGTCTTTGGGGATCACGTTGGAGAAGAGAATGGCTGTTTTGCCCATGGATTGCGAGACAAGGGCGATTGTGATGAAGAAGGTGAAGGAGCGTGTGCGGATGATGGCTCTCCCTGTGCACGCAGCAGCATGGATGTTGCACCCACTCCACAGGTCGCCTAGATTATTCGACGACTTGGAAATTGTGGAGATCATGAACACTCTGGCGCACTTTGTCGCGGTTTACACCAAAAATTCGAAGGAGTACAAAGTGTTGGAGGTCCTTGGAAAGTTTCCATCACAAAACTTCGGAGTGGATTTGGCCGAACTCAGAGGAGGTTTTTGCATGCACTCACGTTTCACCGGCGCAATGGTGGTTGACATATGGGAAGAATCACAAGTCGTTGTAGAGGATTGCAGTCGCAGTGCTCAGCATGTGGACAACTGCCTCTCCATGCGAGAGGAACTGGTCCACCTTCGACCTCATTCACACAAAGAGGAGAAATCTATTGAGCCCGGAGAATTTGCAAATGCTTGTCTTCATCCATTGGAACAAGAAGTTGCTGAGGATGTCGAAGATGAAGATCGGGTTTGTTAACACCGAGCGACTGGAGTGGGAGACACCGGAGGACTTGGCTCCCTACGATGGCTTCATGCAAGACAGGGAGTACGACCCCGAGGAAGTGAAGAGGAGGGCAGCGAACTGGTCCAAATCTCGCGGGCGTAGATCGAAGTCGACCAAATTCGACATTCGGGAGCTTAAGGAGGAGAGGGTGGACGATGGGGCATGGGTCCTTGATCTTTCTTACCGCCCTCGTCGTCTTGCGGATCATGACCGTGGGAAGACCGTTGTTGATGTTGACGGCGAACAGCCTAGCCATGACAACGAGGATGCTGACGAGTTGGTTCGAGTGGAACTCGTTGACAGGCGGTCGACTATGAGGTTGGGAGGCGGTTCATCTTCTTCGTCCCCACGTGACCACATCACGACGCCAGAGGAGGGTGTTCGTTTACGGCGTCGGACTTCCATATTAGGCGGTGCGGCTTCGGTGCAGGGGACCGCCTCACTCTCGGGAGCACAGCTCACCAGTCATCTGCGACCAACGCTCGAGGAGGCAGGCACCGCTCGTGGGACCACACCCGGTGGGTCGGTGCACGTCCCCCATGATCGATATGCGGTGGAGGTAGATGCGTCTGTTGGTGCAGACATGGACGGCCCCATTGCTGTTGCTCAGGCGGAGGCCGATGCGGTAATTGATGCGCGTGGGGATGATCCGGTTGGTGAGCACGGGGATGATCCGGGTGGTGCCACTGCTACGGATGGTGTTGTCGGTGCAGTTGACGATGGTGCTGTTGGTGCGAACACGGGGACCGACGATGGTCCCATTGCGAGCGCCGATGGGTTGTCCACTCCGGATCCAGGGTTGCGATTGGGGGAGAGATTCGCCTCCCTGGTGTCGCACGTGGCCCCTATTGCCCCGCGTGGCTCTGCACAAGACTTTTGTAAGCACCTGGCTTCGATGTCCCCAATGTGGACGGATGATGAATCTAACACCCCTGATTGGGCCAGATTCAGCGGACCAACCCCGCCCACTCTTTGGTCGAACGAGGACATTCCACTGGTCGTAGAGGGCACACACGCCCAAGTTTACACCCAGTCCAGGAAGGTGGAACGACCCCACCACATGGCATGAATGCACGGCGTGCAACGGTGTCACCGCCCGATATTGGCGAGAGCAAGGTGCACCGAGTGAAGAGTTTGGCGGGCAGAAAGAAGGGAGGGAAGAACAAGGAAAAGGAGGCAGCGGCACCCAAGACAAGAGGCGGAAGAAGTAACGGATGCAAGACTGTCACGCCACCCAAGACCTTGGAAGAAAAGAGTGCTGTTGTTCGACAAGCGAAAAGGAAGAAGGCTCGACGAGTGTAAAAGAAAGCTGCGGCAGCAGATCGATCGCCGAAGCGCGGAGCGCAGAAGAAAAGGAAACGTGTGCAAGAGGACGATGAATCGAGTAGCAGCAGCTCTTGGCCTTCCGCGTCTTTGTCCCGATCGGGGTCGACATCGTCGTCATCTGACACGAGTAGCGGCAGTGAATGGAAGTGTTTTCTTCATGTGTGTGTGTGTGTGTGTGTGTGTGTGTGTGTGTGTGTGTGTGAGAGAGAGAGAGAGAGAGAGAGAGAGAGAGAGAGAGAGAGAGAGAGAGAGA